TTGTGCCTCCGTCTGGTTTTTGTGCTGGTTTTACATCCCCCCAGTCACATCTCCACGGCAGACACAGACTTTAGTTGCTTAGATTTTTCGTACAAGCTGTTGGAGTCGATTTGTTGGTTTTCCTCGGGAGGATGGAGTGTCAGATGCAGGCTGGGCTTTCTCCGGATCCAGTCGTGCTTTTCAGTCATTTTTGGAGCGGTGCGAATGCGGCGGAGGCCTGGAGGAAGCTCTGTTTTGGGGGCTGCCTTTCTGCTGGGGTGTTTCTTTTTGATGAGTCGCTGGAGGTTCGTGGTCTGGGGGGAGGCAGATGGGAGCCAGGGCTGCACCGTGCTGGGCTGTGCACGAGGGGGTGGCCGCTGCCGAAGCGGTTCCGCTGGCTGTTCTCCGAATGCATCTGGAGGAATCCAAGAACCAGGCAGCAAACCGACAAAGCAAACCCAGGTCACAATTCTTCCCTTTCTGGCACGTCAAACTCCCACTGCTGCAATATTCTCCTGGGTGCAAAGGTGCTAGCTCTGGGTTTACGTTGTCGAGTCCAGCTCTCCTAGGGGTTGGATTTTTGGTCACTGCGAGCTGCAGAGGCAGCGTGACATCCCGTGGTGCCTTTCTTCCCAAACCGGGGCTGCCTTCAGCGCTCGCTCCTCTGCAGCAGCATCTCCCTAGCCGCTGGTGCCGCCCACGCCGGTGCCTTATCTGGGTGCTGCTCCCCCCGGGTACCTGCCCTGCAGCTGGCAGGGGGAGGGATGCTTTGAACCTGCGGAGCTGTGTGTTGGGAGGCCAGGATGGAAAAACCAGTTCCTCCTGAATTTGCTTGTCCCTGTGGCGCTGTGGGTGGGAAATGCGGTTGCCAGGGAGTCACTGCGACCATTCTTTTAATTCATCCGTGGTACCAAAATGGGGTAGTTTTTGGGTTTAAATCTATTTTCTCCTTAGGAGGTTTATATGCTGAAGTATGTGACAAGGTAACTGTTGTTTCCCCCCTCCTGCGGGACCCCAAAGAGGTCCAGCAAGCTCGCTGTGCAATTAGACATCCTCAGTACCAAAGACCCATCTCCATCGGCAAAGCATCAAGAAAATCTGGGAATCTCCAGGGTGGGGAGGATGACAGCGATGGCAGAGCCAGCTATGAGTTGATACGATGGGTGTATTGAGTCGTAAGAGGCTCAGAGATTGGATCGCGGGGGTCTCTAGCTCATGTTGTGTTATCTCCACACCTGGATCCGCTGTTAGGGTTTGTTGAACTCCTTTACAGCGTGTTTGCGGCTCCTGGAGGTCCTGCTCCCAGGAGCATCGCACGGGATTCAGCCAGTCCATTGCCCAGACAGCGGCAGCACATTCCACGTGTTTTCCTGGCGAAATCTCAGGCAAAGCTGCCCAGAGGCTGGCAGCGATTTCTGAGCGAGACGCTGTGCTGCCAGCATCCCTCCGTGCCAGCTCCCCTGCCCGAGCTGTGCTGGAGGCAGCGCCATGGGGCTGGGGTGAAAAGGGCCAGAGCCCGCCGGGCTGCCGGCAGCGGTTCCGCCTGCTGCAGGGCTCCTCGGCTCCGTGCGGAACAATGGAGCTGAGCCTCTCGAAAGCAGAGCTGACCTTCAGCTCTCGTGGGACAGCGTAGTTTGACTTGAAGCAATGGGGGCATCGGGTGTGGGGGTGGCACGTGCACGTGGCTTAAGCCTGCTTCTCTGACTCTCTTCCCAGCGGTGATATAAATGAAGACACGCTGGAGACTGAAAAT